TGCATCACCTGCTGCAGCAGCATCCGCTGCACCACCCCCAGCAGCATCAGCAGCAGCAGCAGCAGCAGCAGCAGCAGCAGCAGCAGCAGCGTGGTTTTTCTTTTATTCAATCTCACAAAGTGAAGCGAGATCTATCTGTTCGTTTTGCTGCTGTTGGTTCTTTGTCTGCTGCTGCTCTCTGCTGCGCGCTTCGTGCTGCAGCAGCAAAGGGGCTGCATGCAGGGGCCTTCTGGGTAGAAGCAGACAGGCGGCTGCTGTTTCTATCCAATCAGCTTTCTGCTGCTGCTGCTGCTGCTGCTGCTGCTGCTCTTGCTGCAGCACAACACCGCAATACACAAGTACTCTATAGACTCGAACTCAGAGCCATTGAAATCAAACATGTAACCCTAAACCCTAAACCCTAAACCCTAAACCCTAAACCCTAAACCCTAAACCCTTAAAATTTTTAATAAGCTTATAGAGATATGTTTAGTGCTGCTTGGTATCCTCTTTCTGCTGCTGCTGTTGCTGCTGCTCCCGTTCCTTGTACTACTACTACTACTACTGCCTCTGCTGCTGCTGCTGCTGCTGCTGCTGTTGCTGCTGTTGCTGTTGCTTCTGCTGCTGCTACTGCTGCTGTTGCTTCTGCTGCTGCTGCTGCTGCTGTTGCTTCTGCCGCTGCTGCTGCTGCTGTTGCTTCTGCTGCTGCTGCTGCTGCTGCTGCTGCTGCAGACATTCGATGGGTTGCAGGCTGCGCTGCTGCTGAACGCCTTCGCCCGGCTGGGCTATCAGCCCGCAGAAATTCTCCCGCACTTTGCTGAGATGCTCGTCAAGGTGCTGCTGCTGCTGCTGCTGCTGCTGCTGCTGCTGCTGCTGCTGCTGCTGTTGTTGTTGTGTTGCTGTTGGTGTTGTTGTTGCTGCTGCTGTTTTGTTGTGTTGCTGCTGTTGTTGATGCTGATGAACGGTTGCAGCTGTGTTGCTGTTGCTTCTGTTTTGGTGTTGCTGCTGCTGTGCTGCTGCTGCTGCTGCTGCTGCTGTGCTGCTGCTGCTGCTGCTGTGCTGCTGCTGCTGCTGTACTGCTGCTGCTGCTGTGCTGCTGCTGCTGCTGTGCTGCTGCTGCCGGTCGCCGTGCCCACGGATCGAAGAGACATTTAGGGTTTAGGGTTTAGGGTTTAGGGTTTAGGGTTTAGGGTTTAGGGTTTGTGGTGTGGGCTCAGAGAGACAAGGATTTGGTTTACGAACCCCGCGCCATCGCTCTGCTCGCTAATGCATTCGCCAGGTAGGGTTTAGGGTTTAGGGTTTAGGGTTTAGGGTTTAGGGTTTGTGTTGAGCCGTTGTTGTGTATGCATTGATATTTGGATTGTGTTTAGGGTTTAGGGTTTAGGGTTTAGATAGGAGTGCAGCATCCATTTCCCCTCCTACC